ACAACTTCCACTTCAAAACGCTGCATTTCCTGCTGACCCAGGCCCTCCAGAAGCTGAGACGCCCTCATGAGTGTCCAGATGTGTTCCGTGGGGTGAGGACGGTCCAGTTCAATGTGACACCTGGTGAGAAAGTCTGCTTTGGTCAATTCACTTTTTCGTCACTGGAAAAAATGGTGGCCCAGCATTATGGGACAGACACAATGTTTGAGGTGTACACGTGCCACGGTGTCGACATCCAGAAATTCTCCAATCAAAGTGTGAAGGAGGTGCTGATCCCACCCTTTGAGACCTTTGTTGCGCGAGGGCGTACGCGGCCCTAGGTCCGGCTAGCTGGTGAGGGGTGAAGACCAACGCCCCAGCGCATCAGAAGGCAGCCCCCCTCGGGGTCTTGGCCTCGGGCTGGGCTGGGTGATAGCTTGGAGCGGCGCGCTGCGAGACGAATAAGGAGGCGACCACTTGCTGGAGGTAAACTGTCGGTTTATTACAGAAGCACCAACGGGGATGGGCACCACCAGCAAATGGTCCCGAACAGGGGGCGAGACAGGGTTTTAAGGGAAAAAGGGGGGAAAAGGTAGGGAAGCCTAGCTAACCAATAGTAATACATATTTGGAGGTGCTAAACATAATTGACATACCTAAATAACCAACTATTATAAAGCAAAGGAGGGGCCCCGGGACGGCAGCCAACCATAACCCCCAGAGAGAAGAAGGTTCTCGAAACCTGGGAGGAGAAGGGGGTGATTGACTGGGCCCAGGGAGGAGACAACTTTGCCTTATAAGGGAAACTAGGGGAGGAGAAGGTTACCATAGCAACTTAGCTGACAGGGTAGCAGTGGCGGAAAATAGTGTTGAAGGGAGGAACCATTTACAGAAAACAGGAGGATACAATACAGAAAATGGGGGAGCAAACTAAAAAACTTAAGAACACACTACAGCACTTTGTGGTCACCAAAGTCACCAGGGAAGGGAAGAAAGTGCAGATTGTGCTTTGCTCCACCAAGAACTCCAGCATCTACAACTGCGAGTGGTTGCAAGGTGACATCATGGGAACAACCTGGGGGATGGGGACACTCAGTGAGGGTTGGGGACAAGGACACACGGTACTGGGGACACCCATGGCCCAGAGGGGACAAGGACACCCACTAGGGTTGGGAAACAGGACACCCAGAGCTGAAGACAAGGTCAGGGACAGCATTGCTTGGGCACAGGGGTTGGGAACACCCAGTGCCAGGTGAGGGGGACAGGGATATCCAGTGCTGGGGCTGGGGACAAGGTACATGGTACATGGCTGGGTAGTGGCGAAATGGGCCTTATTGTGGCCCTCTCTGACTCCACACCCTCTGGATCCCCCACCACCTCTTTCCTCCCTGCCATGGCGCTCCTGATGCCCCCCCGACCCTCCCACCCCATGATCCCCCTGACCCCTCTCTTTGTCCCCACAGGTGAGAGCCTCCCCAGGAGCTCCCCCCACCTTGGGGGGCTTCTACTGGCCACCGTGGCCATGGCAGTGGCCATTGGAACCCTCTAAGCCACGAGCCCACCAAAGTCACTGTGGTCTTGGGGTCCACTGTGG